TCACCAACAAGCTGATTTTGATGAATAGGTTGATCAAAGCATATGACAAGAGCGTAGTGTAAGTGATATATTTATCAGTTTATCAAAAGCCTTAGATTCGGTAACAAACGGGCCAATTATCATATTAGGGGCATATGGAATAGCTGATTCGTTTCCAACTGCTTCTACATACAGCTGTAAGCTACCATTGGTGTGGTTCAGTACAAAATTTCAGATCCCATTGGACCACCTGGGTTGAGTTAGATCATTCAGTAGTTCTGTTACACTTCACTCTTCGACTCATTGGCCATCGGTAAAAATAGCCTCCTCAGTTAGCTCATCATCGTCCGCGCGATCCATCTGTCTGCGCACGTTATGGGGAGAAGCTGGGACAGGAACTAGGAAAACAGCGACAGTGGAGTAAACCAAGAGTGGAATCAGATTAGATGCGATGCACCCAGCAGCAAACGTTGCTCTTGGGACTGAACCCAAAGTTTGCCGAAAACATTGGATCTCTCAGAAGTTGGTAATCCTGATTGATCAAAAGCGAAAGATCCCAATCTGCCAGGATCAGCATAGGGACCGGTATCGCCTGCAGTGTCACCTCGGGAGAAGCCTTTAGAAAGATCGCAAAAATTGTTGGGCCAAAATAGCTAGTGAAATGGAGGTAGCTTCTGCATCAGGGAATAGTCAAAGACTATTTAACCTGATACGCAGCGTGGAAGATATTCGTCGTCTTGAAGTATTCGACTGCAGAGTTTGGCGTAGTTTGGCTCGGGTTGGATGGAGCGAGCTTGTAAGCAACTCTGAGGTAAGTTATCGCGTATTTGGTAATGATTCGATGGAGAATTCGTTGTCTCATTGAATTCAGATTAGTCGGCCTCGCTGATTAGAACATGTATTAGGCATGCCTAACCATCGTCTGCCACACCGCCCTATTCGCAGTTGCGGCTTCAGGTTGAAATCGGTGTCTCCCGTCCTCCAGGTTGGGGTCCGAAAGACTGCAACTGGCTGGTTGGAGACACTAAAGGATATGGCGACTGACCGACAGCAGTGGCGCTCTTGTTGTCATTTCTTAACGAGGCAGAATGCTTGAAAAAGTTATGCATGAACACTTAGATTGTGTACTCTGTGTGTTGAACATAGAAGTTCTTTTTCTTTGCCTCCCTCCAAGTAGGCCCAATCCCTCTCCATCTTTTGCTTTATCATTTGATTTGTGTACATTGTGAGCTTGGCAGCGAGCGGTGAAGCTCTCTTCATTGTATCTCGCTGTACGATGATGATGATGATACGCAGCACCGGAGGTAGTCGCATGCCAGTCGGTGAACATTTGCGATAAAAGTGGACAGAGTATCCACAATAAAGAACAACGACTTGATCGCTCGGCATAGTATTTCAGTGAACAGTTCAATTGGCCAAGTGCTAATGCTATCATTCCAGCAGGTGCGGCGGAAACCCCATGGGTGGTAACCTGCGAGCCCCCATCAGAATCGGAAGTATGAAGCTTCATTCAATTACTAAAGAACGGAAGGCTGTGGGACCTGATGGGCTTCTCCCTATTCTTTTCAAGATGGGCGGTGATTCTCTTGTCGACTCAATTTCCGGCTTACTTCGCAGCATTTGGTCGGAGGAACGTATCCCATTGTCCTGGGATGAATCGTTGATCGTCCCAATCTTCAAGAAGGGATCACAGAATGACTGCGCTAACCCCCACGGGATTAGTTTAGTTCCGACAGTCACAAGTGTTGATTTTTGTGATACTTCGTCGCCTGAGAGGGAGAGGAATATCCGCGAACAGCAAGCCGGCTTCCGTCCAGGTCGCGGTTGCATCGACCAGATCTTCACCTTGCGTCAATCCCTGAAATTGCGTCATACACATAGTCGACCAACAATCGCGGTGTTCCTTGACCTAAAAGGAGTCTTCAATTCGGTCGATCGTGAAGCTCTTATGGGATCGCTGCTTCGCAAAGAAATGCCGCAGAAGTATGTGAAACGATTGCGGTCACTGTACCTGCATACTTCTGTTAGCCTAAGGGTCTACGGTGGGCTAAGTAAATCGTTCGAAACCCGGAACGATGTTCGTCAAGGGTACCCTATTTCGCCATTCCTGTTCAATTTCGTCGTAGACGAAATACTGGAGGACGCACTAAGTGGTCTCCTAAACGCAGGTATTGAATGGGCAGCTGGAGAAAAGCTGTGCGATTTAGAGTACGCTGTTGACATCATATGCCTGTTAGAATGTATGGAGGATGCGCAAATCGTTCTTGACAGACTTTCAAGTTCTGTTGTCCTGTTCGGCATGCGCTTTGTACCTTCGAAGTGCAAAGTGATGCTACAAGACTGGGTGTCGTCTACCCCAGCGGTGATTCTTGATGGTCAAGAATTATCTGTAGTTGATCGTTTCATTTTCTGTAACTGCGTTTGAAATGACGATAGCATAGTCAACTACTTCTCCCGTAGGACTCAGTTTACTTCACCCAATGGTGTACAATCTTCTATTAACGTTGAAGCCGGTGTTTCTCAGGGTGCCATTTTGTCCCCTTTCTTGTTTTCCATTTATATACAAAATCTCCCCGTTCCCACCAACTTTATTGCATGTAAGTATGCTGGTGATATTGTAATTGGTTGCCCAGCCCCTATTTCAGACAGTTTTCGACCTCTCCAGGACAGTCTTAATGAACTTCACGATTGGTCTGTGACCCGATCCCTTGTACTTAACATCAGCAAGTGCATTGAAGTTCCATTTGATCTTAAAACCGGTCCCCGTTATCTTTCATTAGTTGATAATCTTCCTGATCTTATAATTAACAACCAAAGCATTCCCAAATCTGTATCTGTTAAATACGTTGGTGTCACCCTTACCCATAACCTGTCCTGGTCTGCTCATGTCATCAACGTTTTCACAAAAGTTCGAAAACTGTCCTATGCTTACAGGTTCAGGAAACTGGTCGTACCACATAATCTTATTCCTAAATTTGTGATTGTTTGCATTCTTTCACACTGGCTATACTGCTCCCCGATTTTTATCTCTGGACTGAAAGAAAAATATGTTTATTTTCAAGATCCCTTAAATTTTTTCCCCGCTACAGTTGGGTTGATAGAGATGTTTTAGTTGATTTCTTTATTTCCAATCATCTTGACACTCGTGATACGTTCATTGACAGGATAACACGTAATGAAGGGCACTGTCTGCACCAAGATATCGCGAAGGCCCTGTCAAATCCCCGGACACGCTCCAAATATCAAATCCTTTTTGCGCGGACCACATATCGAAACAGTGTAATTCCATATCTAGCTCGTTTACTAGTAAATCGTCAGCATATTCTCACCTACCTCAGGGAAAACCTCTTGCCCTAATTTTCCTCTCATTTGTTAAAGTGTAGAATTTCTTATACCGTGTTTTTTGTTTGCAGTTGTTTTACCTGTCCACTGTAAAAATCGTAAATTGCTGAAAATTCACCCTTTGGGTGCATACAACTCTTCTTGACCTTGACTGACTTTTGACTTGAAGTAACCGTCCGCATTTCCAAGGCTCGAGCAGCTTACGCAGGACTGAAATACCTTTGGTGCGGACGCGATGTTTCGTTGAAACTGAAATGTCGTGTATACTGCGCCAGTGTGCGGCCAGTTCTGCTCTGTGGTTGCGAGACCTTAAATCTGTGCGTGGAAGATATTTGTCGTCTAGAAATATTCGACTGCAGATGTTTATGTAGTTTATCGCGGGTTAGATAGAGCGAGCGTGTAAGCAACTCTGAGGTAAGTTGTCGCGTATTTGGTAATGATTCGGGCGGTGTTGGCCCGGTGGTAACGTCACCGATTATCACCCCGGAGGACGAGTGTTCGAATCCCACCACCACCGCCTGACTTTCCCCATTTTTGTATTGCATAACAGCCCTTTGATTGGCCGCTTCCCCCTTCCTGAAAATTGTATCTTTGTATCTTCAATAAAAGGAAGTAAAATGAAAAAGAAAAGAGAATTCGTTGTCTCATTGAATTCAGATTAGTCGGCCTCGCTGATTAGGACATGTATTAGGCATGCCTAACCATCGTCTGCCACACCGCCCTATTCGCAGTTGCGGCTCCAGGTTGAAATAAACGGCGTGGAGGCCAACAGATGACGTGGAAGCGAGGCATGAAGAAATGCACAGAGCGATTAGGTAGAATCGGTGTCTCCCATCCTCCAGGTTGGGGTCCGAAAGACTGCAACTGGCTGGTTGGAGACACTAAAGGATATGGCGACTGACCGACAGCAGTGGCGTTCTTGCTGTCATTTCTTACCACGTCAGAATGCTTGAAAAGGCATGTATGGATGGTTCGGTTGTGTACTCTTTGTCAACCATAGAGGTTCACTTGATTACCGCTCCCTCGAACTAGTCCCAAACCCTTCCCATATTTTACTTCATTGCCTAGTTTGTGTACATTGTGAGCTTGGCAGCGAGCGGTGAAGTTCGCTTCAGTTTATCTCGCTACAAGATGATGATGATGATGATCACCGGCGTGCTTTGCACCCTAGTGTGTGAGGTTCGAGTCTCGTCAGCGCCACCGAATTCTGGTCATGCGCAGTGTTTCTGTCGTCCGGTTTGATACCGCTCCGATCCAGTGGGTCCTTATGTTGTTCGCTAAGTCCCGGGGCTTAGATTACCCCTCTGTAAGCTGTTCATTGCACATTTGTGTAATAAAAAACGGAATACTATAAGGTGAAACTCTCTAATCACTGCTAAGTTTATAGTACATATTAATTGAGCACTTCTGTTTAAGATGGGTTTTGGTCGGTCAGTTCATCGTGAGATTTCTCGGATTCCTATCACATACTTGGGAGTGCTCAGTCATGAAGGTAATACACAGATGAGCGTATTATTGTTTAGAATTTGCATATGCATAAGTTCCTTTCGCTCAAGGAATCAGAATGTTTTATTTGATGTCGCATATATATGACTAAGTTCAGTGTTGTCTTTTTTGCAGCATACGGATGATCCCATAAACATGGAAACGAGTACTCTCACCTTGGATTCACCTGCTTTACTGAGCACACAAGGCGTACAGGAATATTTGTGCAAACATGGAGTTACTGAGGCCAATCTTCAATCTATCAGGACTCATCAGATCGACGGAGTGGCTTTTTGTCTTTTATCTGACAAAGATCTCCTCGAAATAGGCATCACATGTGTGGGACAAAGAAAACGAATCCTGTTTGCATCCGCTCAGTATCGCAGTTTTGTGATGAATAACTTCAATGGCCACTTGTTCGGTGTTCGAAATTTAAAAAACTCGGAAATGTTCGATAACGAATCTGGCAAGACCCAGGTTTTCGATTTTTGCTATTCTAAGCACAATGGATGTGCTTCTCGAGGTGATTCTCCGGGTTTTTGGAGTGAGGTACATCACGATTCGGCAGAGCATGTTGTTGAGACAAACCCGAAACCGTGGAAGGTCTTAGTTAGTGCCTTATACTTATTTCTCGTCGCTGGTATCACGTCGTTTGTCATGGTCATCGCCCATGAACGGCTACCTGATATTTCCAAGTATCCTCCTCTGCCAGATTTGCTTTTGGATAACATTCCCTACATCGATTGGGCCTTTGAAGCAGCGGAATGGGTTGGCGTTGTTCTAGGTCTTGTGTGGGCCGTAATCCTTATATTCCACCGTTATCGTTGCATCTTGTTACGACGATTTTTCGCGATTTCTGGCACTGTTTTCCTTCTACGGTGCGTCACCATGATTAGCACTTCACTGAGTGTTCCCGGTGAACATTTAGCTGAACAATGCACTCCAAAAGCTTTCATAAATAACACAGTCCGGTTCCATCGATTTTTGGAGATTTGGCTAGGAATGGGAATGTCTATACGTGGAATCCAAACCTGTGGTGACTACATGTTCAGCGGACATACGACTATGCTCACTCTTCTGAACTTCTTCATTACGGAATATTCGCCTCGGAATATTCAAGTAATTCATACCTTCTCATGGGTTCTCAACCTGTTTGGAGTTTTCTTCATACTCGCTAGTCATGAGCACTACTCGATCGACGTATTTGTTGCAATATACGTTTCATCTCGTCTATTTCTGTACTATCATTGTCTAGCTAATAACCGGATTTTGCATCAGGAAGATAAGAATCGAGCAATGATCTGGTTTCCTTTATTCACGTTTTTCGAATATGATGTGTGCGGGATTGTACCGAACGAGTATGAAATTCCATTTCGTTCTTTCTGGCTTAAACCGCATTCATTCTCGCCTCGATACAACCATAAAACTCGTTCTTCGCACGAGGATGTTGATCCTGGAGCAGACGCGATGGAATTGCCCCATAACCATCTAAAAGCGCAATGATTCAGTCCATTCTTTGAAATTCTTCGCCTTATCACCTCGTTTTCAGGGAGAATCAGCGCTTGCCATAGAATTTCTTTTTTGTTAAGTTTTTTACTCCCATAATTAAACCGCTGCTCTGGCTGTATGTTTCACTTATGAGATGATGCAAAAACTATTTTTGGTTGTCCATTGTATCAATACAACTCCTCTTCTGTTTTCTCACTTGCTGTTGTCAAAAGAGAAGGTAAAAGGCTCTGTGATCATTATAATTTCATTTTAAGAAGAAATAGACTGGATTGCAGTTTCAAATGACTGAATGAGAATTAATTGTACAAAAACATCAACCGGGCCTCACTACAGGCCCGTCTGTCAAAATTCATCTAGCCTGGGAATGTTGAAATTGCAAATATCTCTTAGGCACATTTTCATGCAGTCTGGATTGTTATATATCATTTGTAATACAGGTCGTAATTATTCAATTCCATTCCTGCTAAGTGTGGGCATTGCAGGTCTCCCAAGGGGTTGTTTTCTATTATTATTCCTAAAGGTAGTTTATGAACAATAACGAACTCTGAAATTTACGTGACCTGATGTTTTGCTATTTAGATTCATGGTTATTGAATTGATTATTCGCGTCCATCTGCGCAGATGAGAGTTTCAAAGTGTTCGCGTCCAGTTTGTTGGGAAACAAATATACTAGAGTTTGTGTGTTACCCTCTGTTCTTGTTTTTAGGCAACTTTCTCCTGTGTGAATATACCCCGGTTTTATGAATGTCTTTCTAACTGTTGTGCGGGCCAGTGCCATCTGCAGGGAAAGAGTGATGGTACTGACATTGTTCGGTGCCCTATCAGATTTTTGCACGTCGTTGTGCCTTCTTCAGAGATTTTTAGCTTTTTTAGCGCTGAGATTGCTTGCTGGGAGAAAATCGTTTATGTCCTCAGATGCCCTAGCATTGCTTATTGGTAATGTTACGACCGCCATATGGTGAACACGTAGTCATGGTCACCTTTTGGAAAACTGAAAACATTCGTCGTTCTGTAGGTTGCTCGTCTGGACTACTCAAAAGACCATTCGGTTCACCTCTTCCGGGATTGGTCTTTTTGGTGGTATATTGATTGGGGAAAATTTATTTAGATACAAAGCTTTTACACTTTGATGAAGAGGTCAGTCGACACAGCAAATGAGGTTCCTACCTACTCGATCATTTGAGAGATCCTTGATCCTTTTACTGCTGTCTGTCGATGTGTTACAAGTCACAATCCTCACCCTCCTTAAATGAACATTTGATACTATTCAGGACCTGTTGCAGATGGGGAACGTACACAAATATATTCAGAACCCGACTGGTTGCTAATTCCTGGTGGACTGTCAAGCTTGTTTTCAACAGCATGCTAAACTTATCAGGAGACTGGGTCACATAGGTCCTGTTAGGCTCCCTGGCTGGGGACCTCAGGACGATCGTAACCGATGGTTATAGACACTGATTGATATGACTGGGTGTCGCAACCAGTGGCGTTCGTGCATCTTCTCAATCTCTTTGCAACCTTAGACCATTGAACTTCTCCATTTTCTGTTCGACTCCACTTTCAACTTTCCTTTCTTCTATTCTTCATCCAAATGGGCAACCAAAAGACAGCAACCAAAACCGGCGCACGAATATGCGTGGTTAATGGTTGTACAAACTGAACTGAACTGAAACTTATCAGAGGCAACAAAGTTCAGATATTTTTCAAACTAACTTCCGTACATTCAGTTATTATAATAACTAAGCACAGTTTAGTTCAATTCAGTTCTTACAACCATTAACCATGCACTTTCGTGTGCCGGTTTTAGTTGCCCATTTGGATGTAATAGCAGAATGCTGGTCAGAATGTTGAGAGCAGATTCATTTTCATAGACTTAAGTTACAAGAATAATGAGTGGATGCATGAGCGCCACTGTTTGCGGCACCCAGCCATA